TCATCAGCAAACTTTAGGAGCTTGACAGAGGGGTCCTTCAAGATGCAGTCGTTGGTGTAGAGTGAAAACAGCAGAGGGGAGAGCACACATCCCTGGGGGGCACCTGTGCTTATTGTCCGGGTGCTGGATGTGGTTTTCCCCAGCCTCACCTGCTGCTTCCTGTCTGTCAGAAAGCTAGTAATCCACTGACAGGTGGGGGCAGGCACAGTGAGGTACAACAACAGAACAAGTTTGCAAGGCTGTATAAGTCATTAAAAGTATTGATTTGCTGATAAATCTGTGTTTTCTACAGAAAACAGTGGATCTGAATTGGCTGTTTGGATCTGCTTGAAGCTATATAAGTCACGTGGCCCTCTGCTGTTGTTGACACTTCAGTGTTGCAACTCTTCTATTTTAAGGGCTCTGATAAACAGAAGCCGTTTACCTTGTTGCTGAATGTATGCATCACTTAGATACGGAGTTAGGGCAGGAACACCAGTGTGCAGATGAATAATTTAACTATGTTGGAGTCAACTGGCTTTGATTTTCTTGCTTTAAATCTATGGACGTTAACACATTAACAGAAAACAATGGCACCTGATATTCACCAGGACGAAGCATCTGACAGCTCCATCATCATTCAGTCTTTCTTCCTTTACACCTTTACAGTAAATTGATTTGGCTTCTTTTTTCTCAGATGGCATATTGATGATTTTGTTGACTCAAAACCCTCCATTATTTACCTCTACTGTTTCTCAGCCATGTAAACAGCAGCTTTAAAAGCTGTAATTACCACTGTATCCAGCTGTATTAGTGATTGTTTGGATGACACAGGGTCGAGGGTGGTTATAGCAGGACAGATCTGCATGTTGACGTGAGCAGCTGAAGTGTGCAGCATGGTTTTGAAAGTGTTTTGTTTTCTTGGGATGATGGGATAATTATGTTGTGATCTTTACACAGCCCCAAGCTGTCATCTTGTCTTCCTAATGTAAAAAATAGGTCTGAAAGTATTCCACTGCCTTCAGTTTTTGCACACTTTGTGTTGGAGATCCCCCCTCATTAATCTACATTTATTATTTATTATTGGGGCGACTGTGGTACAGTGGGTAGAGCGATCGTCTCCCAACCAGAGGGTTGGAAGTTCGAATCTCGGTGCCTGCAGTCCACATGTCGTAGTGTCCTTGGGCAAGACACTGAACCCTCAAGTTGCCCCCGATGGTTAGAGCCATCGGTGTGAGTTGGTGCCGCAGATGGCTGCCATCGGTTCTGTACCGAAAACAGATTCCTTGTGTGTGACATACTTGGCCACATAAATGTGATTATTAAGGACTGTATTGTTTTTAGTGGCCAGTTCTGGAGGCTGGGGAGGCTCTGACAGAAGGAGTTCAAAGCTCAGTTGTATGATTGTTCTATTACTGTATTACCCACATTGGGATTCATTGGTGGATCTGCACTTTTTAATGACTCATCCCCCATTTTTGTGACTTTGTCTTCTACCTCTGTCTTCCTCTCTCTCTCTGTCCTCCTTCCATCTCACTCTGGTAAGCAGCTCTGCTCTCAGTCAGGTGATGCTGATGACAGGAGGGAACCACTGAACTCAGGCTTCATTTATGAATTTCAAATTCAAGGAATTTAAAGGAATTCAAACACTTTGTTAGTTAATTCACTGCGCCAGGTATAACTGAAAACACTGAGACTTCATCAGTATAAACCTGCTGGTTCTGATTTAATGAATCAGAATTCCAAAGATTAACATCTCCTTTTCCATGAGTGGGTTATTAAAATAATATTATAAGGACAAACTCAGCTGTAGTAATATTATATCATGGTAATGCAATATATTGAGTTTAAATTAGGCTCTTAGTTCATGACTTTGTGCTGTGATGTATTCAGGGCAACTTCAGTGACATATGGTGGATATTGAATTTTGCAGGGATGTATTATTAAATCTCCCACATATGAATAGAGCCCATGATGAACAGAGCAAACAGGCTTCTCTGTATTCAGTACAGTGTCCGTGGCATTGCAGTAATAATGCTGAAAATGATTTTCCTCTGTATAACAGTAAGCATTGAAAGGGTTAATAGAAGTCATTGTTTGTTGATTTAATAAAATTGCAGTCTTAGTCCTTTGCAGCAAGTAAGTTTGAGAGTTATAGAAGCTCCAGTTTGTTGGTCTGTGTTTGGTGGATTTGTGCTTTTATCACAGCCCGACCATCATGCAGCATGGCGACTAGGTCAGGGAACCCACTTACAGTAAATGGAGTGCAGACAACTCAGGCGGCAGCAGGTTATGTTAAATCTCTGTCACCTGGCAATAAAAGAGCAGCAGGAGAGGTTTGTTTGTTTGTTAGGGCAAATAGATACAGGAAGGTGCTAAAGCACAAGAAATGTTTTAATTTAAAATAATATATAAAGCCATCACTGTCCTCCAACCTTTAAATGTTGGTAAATGTTAGAATTTATCAGAAGTTATTCCTGGAGTCTCTTCTTACATAGCATCAACTCCTAGTGATCTAGATTTAAAGCTAAGGTAACAAAAGACCTTAATTAATATTGGAGGTCATTTGCACGGTGCTGTGTCAAAGGCCCCCTCCTCGTATCCACCTGCCTGATAAGACCGTGCAGAAGTGAACCTAAAAAATGTTTGTGGAAAAATGATGTATTATTTTTGGATAACAAGGCTGTAAGGTGGTACAGCCTTGAAAATGATATGTATCAGGACGAACACTGACTCCTCTGTGTGGAGGCAGAGAAGAGAAGCTGGAAATGTTTTGGAGAGAGAGAAAGAGATGAGTGTGAGGATAAACCATTAAAAAGTTCACGTCTGCAGACAGCCATTTTTAAAAGTTTGTCCTC